ACACACACACACACACACACACACACACATCACATATACATATACATATATTTATGTGTATTTGCTTATATCTAGGCCCATGAAAATTATGGCAGAGCAAGTGAACAATTGGCCTTACCAGAGAAGACGTAATAGTCTTTAAAACCGAGCCTTTAACTTTTGCAAAAGATGAAATTCATAAACACTATAATTTGAATTATTGCTGTGAAAACATTTCCCAGAGTTATTGAAAGTGGTACGTCAATATTTTTTGAGGCATCATATCAAAGTAAAAAGAATTTACAGTATCGTGACAACCCTAATTGACAGAGCCCAGTAGCCATAATATGCCTGGCGTGAAGGAAAGTGTCTGTACCTGAAAGTCCAGCATGGAGAGAATCTCTTTGCGCCATTTGATGAGGAAAGCAGCACAGACATAGAGGTGAAAATGGGAGAATCCCTCAGACTCGGCCTGCGGACACACACACGCTCGCATGAGCAAGTAGTCATTAAGCAGATGATTATCCAAAGTGACAAACAGCACACTACTTAGAGAGAAAACCCCTGAGGTTAAGTGCCATTCTCAAAGGGCAAAATAAAGAGGTTTGCTCCTGCAGGGATTGAACCAGCAACCTTCCAGTTACCAGTCTAGAGTTTAAAGCAGAAGTTCACCAAAAATAAAATATTCTGTCATCATTTTCTCACCCACAAATCATGTAAGAATGGCTTATTTTAAAGGTTATTTTCATATCTGCACTCAAAAATTGCTTGTTCAAGCAAATGATTCAAAATGAGCTGAAACAACACAATTATTGAGATTTTTTAGGGATAAACTAAATGTTTTATGTTCAATCCATTTACATTTTTAAGGTGACTTAATCGATTTGTGTTGGGACAACATGAATCCATTGCATGAACACTGAATTTTTTTTTTAATAGTGTGCTATAGCTGACTGTGTTTTTATGACTTCAAAAATACATATTGCATTACTCTTGATTCAAAACAGTATGGATAAAAAATATTTCACACATTTATTTTCATATAAAAGCAGTTTATGATGTCCAATCTGGTGAGAAGAGATAAAAAAAAAAAAACATGAATTTGTCATAAAAGTACATGCCATATGTTCATGTATATTTTCCTTGAATTATTGAGTCCTTGAATTCATACCAGAGTTGATATATACTATTATGGCTCTTGTTTTGACCAAAGCTGGCTATTTATGTACATTGAGATTAACATAGATGAGATATGAAAGACATGAAGCTATAGATTTTCATAATTACACAATAATTTACACAAAAACTTCAAAAAGTTGAAGACTTTTCCTAGTTACTGTTATTATTTTCTAAAATGATTACAAATATTTTTTCCATAAAAATAAAATAAAACAAAGGGGTTAATAACTAGTACAAAGGTAGTAAATAAAAGTATAAAACTATAAAACCTATGCTTTTATTTACCCATTTAAATTCTATTACTCAACTTAAAATCGCAACAACACAGAAATGACATTAACGCCTGTTTAACATGGGGCTTCAGCATTAAGGTTAGATGGAGGGCATGTCTGAAGTTGGGGGTGACATGATCGTCATAGCAGTGTCAGCCAATGACAATAGTCTGTAATCGGCTACTGTCTGAGCTGGGGTATTTGCATGAAGAGATCTGATTGGCTGATGCTTCCGTTGGCGCTTGAAAAGTTTAGAAATTCAAGCAATGCTGCTTAAGTAAGAATTGTGTATTTATATAGCACATTTATTGTGTATGGCCATTCACCCAAATTGCTTCACAACCATAAGAGGGGTCTCTCCACATCACCACCAGAGTATCCACTTGGATCCACATCATCTACTTGGACACAAGGACAACGGCGCCAGTGCGCTCACCACACAAGCGCTATTGGGGGAGTGGAGAGACATTTATAGAGTCAAATTGATGGATGGGGATGATTGGGAGGCCATGATGGGTAAGGGCCGACAGAGTTTATTTGGCCACCACACCAGGGTTACACTCCTACTCTTTACAAGAATTGCCATGGGATTTTTAATGACCACAGAGAGTCAGGACCTCGATTTAACGTCTCATGCGAAAGACAGTGCTCACTGACAGTAAAGTGTCCCCTTTACTTTACTGGGGCATTAAGGTTGAGAGCGCCCTGCTGGCCTCACTAACAGCACTTCCGACAGCAACTTTATCCAACTTTATCAAATAAAAGGAGTGTAGTTAACTCAAAATTGACTAAAAGTTAATTCTACAAAGAGTTTTGAACTCAGTGTTGAAGGTAATGACTTAATTAAATACTTCATTACTTCAAGTTAAATGGAGTAAGTTCACAGTTCTGACAGATTTAACTTAAATGGTTTAGAGCAATCGGTTTCCTCAAACAATTTGAGTTGCCTGAACTTATTGGGTTTTACAGTACTCAGTTGGTTTAATTTCTCTTTCTTTATTAGGTAATTCTGTGCTCAAACTGCTTCATTTACTCATATGGATTAAGTTCACAGTACTCATTAGGAATAGTTTTTGAACTTAAATAGTTTGTTGCAATCGGTTTCCTCAAATGGTTTGAGTTATCTTAGCTTTTTGGGTTTTACAGTGCAGTTTTCCTGTGTGGTCTCCCATCCAGCCCTGCTTAGATTCAGGGAGTAACCGGTCTTGGGCTGCAGGGTGATATGGCTGTGGTTAATCAAAATAAGTGGCGCTGCTGTATCCACAATTCAGTTTGGCAACGCTTGACGTCCCCCATTTAAAGTGATTTTTTAAAATGTAAAAATTTTCATTTTAATAATGTTATTAATGAGTCGGCGCCAGAGGTGTAGTGGCTAGTGCGTTGACACATGCACTCTAGTGCTCACTGCGATCAGAGTTCGATTCCCGCCTCGCAATCCTATGCCGATCCTTTCCCTCTCTCTGCTCCCTATGCTTTCCTGTCAATACTTTCTACTTTCCTATCCAATAAAGGTGAAAACCCTGAAAAAAATATTTATAAAAAATAAAAATAATATTAATAATAATGTTTAAAACCAACTTATGAAATATGTGATGGTGGTTGTGAATATTGTAAAAAACTATTTAATGCTAAAAATGTTTTTTAAATGTGGTGACGAGGTGGCTCAGTAGTTAGCACTGTCGCCTGATAGCAAGAAGGTTGCTGGTTCGAATCCCTGCTGGAACAGTTGGCATTTTTGTGTGGAGTTTGCATAGTCTCCCCGTGTTCACATGGGTTTTCTCTCGGTACTCGGGTTTCCCCCACAGTCCAAAGACATGCAGTATAGGTGAATTGGGTAAACTAAATTGGCCATAGTGTATGAGTGTGAATGAGTGTGTATGAATGTTTCCCAGTAATGGGTTGCAGCTGGAAGGACATCCGTTGTGTAAAACATATGCTGGACAAGTTGGCGGTTGATTCCGCTGTGGCGGCCCCTGGTGAATAAAGGGACTACGCCGAAGTAAAATGAATGAATGAATGTTTGTCAAATATAAAATTATCTACATAATTCAAAATGTATTTCTATTTGTGTCAACATTCAGAAATGGCAAGGAAAATTCTGTATACTATATTGCTACAGACATAAAACTAAGCGTATGATTACAAAAGACTTGATACATAGCATAGAGTCAAATGAGCAAATCAATTGATTATTCTTTCATAATACTTTTTGATCAACACTGTCAGTATGAATAGTTGCTGTATCTTTAGACCTGCACACACACACACACACACACACACACACACACACACACACACACACACACACACACACACATACACAAACACAAACACACATATACATATATAGACAAAAAAAACAAAAAAAAACACACACACACACACACACACACACACACAAAACTTCAGTCTTTGCATTTTCTCTTCCTCTCTAACCAATAAAAGCCTCGAGAAGAAGCAGATAAAAGCTCTTCAACTCTTGACACGGGTCAGATATAAAACCCATTTCTCAGTAAAAATAACCATAATTTCCTATATGCGATGACCTTGTTTTGCTACTGATTCGCAAACAAATGCCTCTACGTTCACTCAGCCAGAAATAAAAAGAACTATTTACTTCCATCAGAAGTAATAAGAGATCTGAAACAGCACATAATATTGGTTAAATTATTCAGCTCCAGTCGAGCGCCTACACACAGAGCTCCTAATGTAGTTTTGCCATCTATCTAATTTATTGGATTGGGAATTAGGTCGTGTTAGTTATTCCCAGCGTATCTAAAGAAGACGCCACCCATTCGGCCTCCTCTCTCTCTGCTTGTGTTGCGTACATGCAGCCACTCGAGAGGTTATAAATAGCTTTGTTTACTTTGTTTCTGTTGCTCCCTCTTGAAGTGAGAAGAAGAGAGAGGGGGGAACAGGAGAACGAGGAAGGAGGGAAGAAAAAGTTGAATTTCATTAAGACGCAGAGAAATTGCAAGAACCAGAAGCAATTTTAGAGAAGCATCCGTTTATTAGTTTTAAAATTATGAGAAGTGCTGGTACAGAAGTGTATCTGGCTTTAAGTGCGAGGATGTATTATTATTCTAAAGGGTAACAAAATGCTAGTAGATGTACTGCATAAAAAGTAAAAAAAAATTTTTAATTCGATGTGTGGAGGAAAAAGACTGAAAGAGACACTGCAAAGACCAAAAAATGTTGATACTGACAAGACCACAGCCAACTATTATTACTTTTTTGTATTTTTTTTTAGAAATTTATAAGTTATTATTTAAGCTGTTAAATAATAATAATAATAACCACCAAACCATACCACCGTGTATACCAGATCTCGTCTGATCTTAGAAGTAAAGCAGGCTTGGGCCTGGTTAGTACTTGGATGGGAGACTGCCTGGAAATAGCAGGGGTGATGCGGTGGCGCAGTACGTAGTGCTGTCGCCTCACAGCAAGAAGGTCGCTGGTTCGGGTAGGTCAGTTGGCGTTTCTGTGTGGAGTTTGCATGTTCTCCCTGCGTTCGCGTGGGTTTCCTTCGGGTGCTCCGGTTTCCACCCACAGTCCAAAAACATGCGGTACAGGTGAAATGGGTATGCTAAATTATCCGCAGTGTATGTGTGTGAATGAGTGTGTATGGATATTTCCCAGAGATGGGTTGCAGCTGGAAGGGCATCCGCTGCGTTAAACATATAAGCTGGTTAACATATAAGCTGGATAAGGTGGCGGTTCATTCCGCTGTGGCGACCCCAGATTAATAAAGGGACTAAGCCAAAAAGAAAATGAATTAATGAATGAATAAATATAGCAGCAGCATGGTGGCACAGTGGATAGCACAATCGCCTCCAAGAAAGGTTGCTGGTTCGAGCGCCGGCAGAGTCAGTTTTTTTTGTACTGGCCCCTGTTGTTTTAAAGAATATCACAACGGCAAACAAGTTAAGTATAAAAAAAGCCTCGTCCATATTTTGAGGTGCTCACGCAGTCAGCGGAGGTCCGAGACATGGCGCCTGGCTAAAGTATAAATCAGGCTTAT